AAAAAAACTCACAGATTAGTCATGTGGCCAACAGGTGCTGATGAAATGACGCCAAGATATCCAGACGTCACTGCTGATATGACCTCACGTTCAAGTCACATCTTGAAAAGACAGCAGATCAACGCGAAAATAAATCTGTTGCGAAAATTATCCGGTCTGAGTTCTGCATACCACGGCCGTGGCGCCTGTAGTGGAGTGCTGATCCACTGCATGGAGCTACGGCTGCCCCAGAAAAAGAGCAGACACGCAGCTCAATGACGCAATGTGATAAGTAACAAGAACCCCAAAGCCATCTTCAACTGGATGGCTATCGATTGTGGAGCATATTGAACCTCCTCACCTACGCAGGGGGCGAATGGGCGTTAGCATTTTCCAGATCACTGACAAATTGCAAGCTTTCCATCCACCGAGCCCTCCAACAGCCGCCGATATGACACATGAAATCAGGCCAACCATTATAGAAACGAGCGACACTGTCGAGAAGAGTGAGATACTACAGACACATAAAAAGATATTAACTTCACGGCCCGACCTTAACCCAGTTACAGAACTCCCTAGCAAGGACCTGATTCACCAAGAACAGTCGATGTTAAACCACATTTTGGCAGGACATGGGCCCAGCACACCTTCAACGCTGAAAGAAGAAGGCTTGTCCATAACGACAAAGGCTAGCCCGCAGGTTGACTGCAGCTACAAAGATCAGCATAACAGGTGTTCAGAACGCTACTCGGCGGCCATTAGTAGTTACTCGTTTAGAAACCTGGACAATTTACAATGAAGCTGATAGCTGCTCCCCCTTTCCTAGTCACAAAAGAGAAGAAGCATATCTTTGTACATGAGGTCTTAGTTCGGTGCATCCGTGCGCGATTAGACTTACAAGTTACTCTAAAGAAGTTACATAAGCAGCCGTTTAAACACTGTATTTTCATCTAGCACCACAGCTTTAATGTAATTATTTAACAATCAAATCTCTAATTAATATCAAGGATGAACATCATAAATATGACATAGTCACTTATTAGTAAACCTTGGTCATCACTGCATGAATAGGGACAATAATGCGATACACAATTCCAGTATACTCTACTCAACTGTACCAAACTATTTCGCTATACAGAATGTAATTTTCCAGAATTTAAAAAGTGCAAATAAGACAACAGGCCTATTCAATACAAGAAATTTGCGGACATCCAGAAGGCAAAAGTCGAAACGCTTGACTGATATACTTCTACATGCTGCGAAAAAATATACTGCCCTTAAAACGCCAAAATTAAAAATGCGACAAATTCTCAGACCACATAAAATGTGATCAAAACAAAGACAAGAATAAATGCAAATGTCAAAAATTATGCGATTGTCAATAATTGCGCACTTTACACAAAAGCAAAAGACCACATGAAAAAACTATGATAGATCAAATATAAGGGCTTATAAGGGTCTTATAAGGGCTTTCTAAGCATCTGGACATTGAATTATAGCGGTAGTCACCTTCTCTCCCCAGCCAAATGAAAAAAGATGTAATGACGACAATGGTGATCATATTATGAATAAAGATGGCAATGATGATGGTGGCTGTGACGATCATGATTGTCATGACGGCTGAGACAGAAAGAAAAAATTGTCGGCATATACCCTACCGTGACGTTAAGTTTCTAGCTTGAGTACTAACAGTAATTTACGCTGTTGATCAGATGATCGAGGAATTGATTTGTTTACTGTAATATAACTGTAGCCTGAAAAAATTGCACTTGTGCCGGACCCCAGCTATTTAACTCTGCCCCACCTCAACATCAACTTGAAAAATCTAACTTACAAATATCTGACGGACAACATGAATAGCGATCGAACATATTCACTTTGAGTGGGACATTCATTAATTCATGCTTGCGGAAGACGAAAAAATTTTAAGGTAATATTAATATTTTAATATTTCGCTCATCCTGAAATTTACTTTACAGATATGGCAAAGTCTTCATGTAAAACAACCTATCATAGGCATCATTTTGTTACTCTTTCATTAAGATCCGCATAAATAAAGCTACCAAACTTTCCAATCTTCTGTCTGGAACTTTAGCAGTTCTAAACATATAAGGAAAGCCTCAATGAACAGCTTCAAATATAAATTTGACCATTTGAATAATGCAGACAATTATTCAATCCAATGAAGTGTTTTGATAGAGATCAAAAAAAAAGGAAGAAAAAAAGTTGTAACAGTTGGAGTGCTGGTCCTTCTTGAACTTCCATGATTTGGGACCCTTATTTTCATTAAGTTAATGGTTGGACGTTAATCACTGTTTCCATGCTAAGGGCCAGAAGACAGAGGCGACAACAAATCAACAAATATTTGGCATATATAGTGTGATCTCATGTCTCTTTCCCAAAGAATGGTATTCATACATCAACGTCAAAACGAAAAAAGCCACATACCCCAACAGGGGAGTGAACTGGAGACCTCTCAATTCTGAGTCTGACGCACTACCGACTAAGGAGGGATTAACGGAGATTATCAAACAATTTATTATTAGAATATAGAAAAAAGATGCAACAATTCCATGAAGGACATGGCCTTTCGTTCCTCAAACTCCAGTAAATTCAGTTTTCATGTAGAGGACTACCATTCACCGGTAGCACAGTGGTTTTAACCATTTAAGGTGATTCATAATTGCAAACTACTACCGCCATGCCCTTTTTAATGCATCCGTAAACTCTGCTTCAACCATAACAAAAAGCATATTTCACAAACGTTGAAACCAAGTAAACGCTTAAGAAAAGATATGTCAAAATTGCGAAAAAAGCTATGAAAATTGATTACTAAATTAAATTTTAAAAACAACCAGTAAAAACCAATACCAGCACTGCCAGATCAGCTTGGCTGGCGCCGCCGATCATATTTGGCACGAAACTTTTGTGTCCCGGTGCGTCCAAGATCGTAAAGTGCTTCAGCTCAGTGTCGAAGCACGCTCGACCGACCTGAACGGTTTTGCCCTTTTCGCGCTCTTCTATGTTGGTATCCAGTGCCCACGACAAATACCTAGAAACGTAATAACGATGGTGGTAAACCAAAATGGTAAATGTTAAACTCGAAAATCATTCGCAACATGAAAGAACATCATTACCAGCTCTCTCGGTTCATCTCCTTCGCTTCTCGGCAGTATTTTTCTAGCGTCCGCTTATCGATTTGACCAGTAAGGTACATGATTTGGCCACCAATGGTCGACTTTCCGGCATCTGTAAAAAACAAAGTGACTTACGAACTGGCTGGACAAGCAGCAAATCATGTTGCAACTCGCTACGACATCTCAAAAATTGCTAAAGCGATATCAGGTCGAAACAGTGCATCGCTTAAGCTGTCATTAACTAGCTACCTCTACTTAAGAAACGTTCTTTGCTGCAAAAAATAAGCATAAAACTCAAGTACTTCACAGGATAAAACTCTGCTGCGTTCAGCCTACAGTTAGATGAATCAAGTACTGTATATCGCACACCACTGGCAGCGAAGCAGATAATGTCAGAATTGTTTTACCACTCGTTTAGGAGATCGCAAACCTCATGCTGTCAACATGTCGTTTGACTGACTCAGATATTTGGGATATGCATGACAAAATTATCATCGATCTATTTTGAGATGGGTCATAAAACTTGTCTAGTGTTTTCATCATTGGAACACTTCGTGAGGTAACACATATCCCTTTATCTGATAAGCAAACAATGGAGGGGATAAGTTAACACATGCTTTTCGTAAAATTGTGAAAAAAAACAGGAATGAAGCACCACAAAATTCGTAACCATTAGGAATGCTTCATTTCAAGAAGCACTTGCATATAACAATGAGGAACAGTTAAACGTCGTCTATGGAGTTAACTGTGACGTCTGCGATAAAACATATAGAAAAAATAAGATATATATCTGCAGTCCGCCTCAGGCAGCATGACAACTTTGGTATTACTCAACAGACGATTTCAAACGAAGATTCTTTCAGTCTGGCGGAAGTATGTTTTTGACCCAAACCGCTCAAGAATCGGTATTCGGAAAAAGGAATCCCTTCATTTTTGACATAGCATCTTAAATTTACGCTCCCGCTCAGTAACGATAAGCAAAAAACTGGGATAATATCACAAACCTGAACATCCGTATTGACTATATCAGTTACATAAATTGCCACATAGGGTTTTAGTTGTTAATTATATTTTACTCCATTTTTTATCTTTCAAAGGAGGCTTGCTGCTGGCATTATAATTTGCGAGCTGGCTGGTGATGTTACGCATCAAAATGAATGCTGAAACAACTTTTTTGGTGTTCTGAACCATGGATCATCAAAAATCATGTCCACCAGTAGGTTTGGAATACAGAATACAAAGGCTTATTCGCTGCAATTTCCGGTTCAGCAAATATATGCAATAAAACTATAAGTAATACTTTGATTCTGACTCCATCTTAACCGGCAATAGAGACTAGTAATTATAATCTAAGACATTACTCGCAGTACCTGAATGCTCAGCATGGCTGTTTAAAATAATGATAATGTGTTTCACTAACCTCTCTTTATCAGCCCAGAATATCTTCTTGAAAAAGTACCGTTAAATGAATTTCGGAGTGCATAGAAGCACAATTTACATCTCAAATTTAACTCTACATCAGCTCTACGCAAATTACTACCAAAGACAGCATTAACTTACCTACGTGCCCGATGAAAATGACGTTAACGTATTCCTTTCGTACTTTCGGCGCCGCCTTTTCTTTCCTCTTTCGCTTTGCTTCTACCTGAGCAGGCGTCATTCCTTCCGTCGATTCTTCTCCTTCTTCGATACCGCCAAGGCCTTCTTCCCATTCTAAATTCCTACACGTAGTAACAGACGAAAAACAGACACTACATTTTAAACTCAAAGTGATTCATGAATCGACAGGGGGTGGCTGTCAGTGTTAAAATTATTTATGAAAAATCAGAGATGCTAAAAAAGTAGCCAAAAAACGTACAAAGTTAAAAGGTCTTTGGAAGAACAAGTCCTTATCGACCTGATAGTGACGTGGTAAAAGTTGCTAAAGAAGCCCAGTAAGCAAAATTACACACGATATTCTTCATTTACTGCCGAGATTAAGTTTCTGATAAGTACGGTGTGCAAAATATAGATACGACATTTCTCAAAATTCACAGGATGTAATTGCACCGTCACCTTATTTCGATAACCGCTCATCCTTTCGGATTCCGGAGACA